TTTTTTTTTTTTTTTTTTTTACTCTCATCTGTTTTGGGATAATGGATTTGATTAATTACTGGAATCTTTCAAGTGTTTTCCACTTTACTGAAATGTTTTCTACAGATACTTCTACATTATTAAGTTGGAATACATCATTTTCTCAGATGTGACTCCAGATGGTTTAGACCAGACATGTCAAACACAAGGCCCGGGGGCCGGATGCGGCCCATGAAGTGGTTTCATGTGGCCTGTGAAGCCATCCTGGAAACAGTGAGGGAACGGCCCCTGCTGCCTTGGCCCTGGCCCAGGCTGGCTGGGAGCCAATGTACAATTTTGTGATGGCCATCTATGCTGAAACGCATTCAGTCGTAGCTCCACAAGACCATCTAGAAACAGCGAGGAACCAGCCCCTGCTGTGTCGGCCCCGCCCCCTGGGTGCATGCTGAGGAGGTGTCACCCTTTGTGAGGAATGAAGAAATGCACCATGCCTTGGTGCTTGCCCCGGTCCCACCCCCTTCTGCCAGAGACCCTCAGATCTGTCCCGCTCCTGCCCAGGCTCCCACAGGCACCCTGGACACAAATGATGTAGAGCTGGCCATGCTCACCCAGTAGGCCACACCCACTCCATCCACGCCCACCCAGTAGGCCCACCCAGTAGGCCGCACCCACCCGGCCCCCCGAGGGCAACTGCAATGCTGATGCGGCCCTCAATAAAATTGAGCTTGACACCCCTGGTTTAGAATATAGCCATGTTCAGTAGGCAACTGTGAGTGTTTGATATCTATCCAAATGGGATGATCAAGCTAACAGGCAGCAAAAATATGTAAAGAGAATGTAATAAAAACAACCACATGAAACATAATAAAATATCACTAAAATTATTCTTAAAAATAGGACTCTCTCTGAAATAAGTGTCCTTTCTACATCACAGATTGACTTTAGTTTCCCTCCTGTGGTCGGTCTGACTTACTCACAAATACTTTCTCTCCTATTTAGACCTTAACATCTGCCTTGTGCAATGAAGTAGACAGACCTAGTCCCTATGGATCCTAGTATTCTTCAGCATACCCAGGCCATGATGCAGAGGGCATGACCCTATTGGCTCTGATTGCCTCTTACAGTGGGTGGCCAACATGAAGAAATGGAGGCTAAAGCCCAGAACTTGGTGTCCTTCAAGTCCAAATAAAGCATAAACAATTCAGGGATGTGAGTCAGCAGGACCCTGTTTTGTTCACAGCTTAGAAAGGTCAGATAGCAGTGTTGTAGCTAAAGCTGCTTTGGCTGATTCCCATTATTGAGAAAGCCTGAGAGGCTTTTTGATTCTGCTGAAGAAACAACACTAGAGCCTGTAGCATCACTGATCAACAAATCAGGGATTTTGACTTAGAGTTTCTGGACTGCTGGTATAAGGAGAAGGCATTGGCTAAGGGACATAATAGGGAGGGGGTCACAGAAAATTCATTGTTCTGAGGGTGGATACATGATGATGTACTAAGGGTTGGGCACAGTAAGATATTGGTACTGGTTAATCAGCTCTACAACACATGATGTCTCACAGATTTTAATTTAATAGGTCAAACAATATCTTGAAATTATGGCAGAACGTGACTATAGTACACCAAATGATTTCCCAGTAAACTGTTAGGAGGTAATTTTCATTTTTCTTTCCTATTTCCAGAAATTTCCCTTTAAGGTAAGATTTCCAGGGGATATGGATTGATCACAATTCATTTTTATCTTTAAATCGGGATATTGCGTTGTATTCAGTACATGTTAATTCATATAACTCTAATGAATTAAAGCCTTAGTTGTTTCTGAAACCAGTGAATCTTAAGAGTTCTAGTTCTAAAAAGTGACTGTATTTTGAACGTAACTACAGTTATTTTAGCAAAATGGCTATAGTGGTGTGCAGTTCCTTGAGAGTAAATCCTATTGAATTTTTTAAAATTTGCTTTAAGTTGATAGATAAAGAGGTTAGCTAAGCAAGAATGAACTGCCTGGACAGCTCATTCTAAAACAGAATTATATATTCCTATTGCTGTTTCTTGTGTTGTTTAGGTAGCTTTTATGTTGCTTCTTTTCTCTTTTAGAAGGAATGAACTGCATGAACAAGAATCATGGTTGCGCACACATCTGTCGTGAGACCCCCAAAGGTGGCATTGCCTGTGAATGTCGACCTGGCTTTGAGCTCACTAAGAATCAACGAGATTGCAAATGTAAGTGTTTACCTGGGGAACCTTTGTCAACGTAGCAGTTAGTTGTTTTAGAAACACTAATATAGAAATAATGGATCTTTGCTAGAAGTGTACTTTATCAAGAGGGGGACATCATAGAGTTATAACTGCCAACATTACTTTGTGCAGTTGCATCTATATATCCAGTCATATTAATCATATGTAATACTCTGTTCAGATGAAAGAGGGACAGCTTTCTCATAAAAGAAACCTCCAGTTTGCAATACTTATCTTGTGATGAGATTGTACATATTTTCTGCTAAAATAAATTAGCATTTTAATTGACATGATGTTTGAACTTATATGCAGATGCATTTGCTATTTTAAATTCCACTAAACTCCAAGGATTATAGCAAGAAAGAAAAAGTTAAATGTTATGCACTTCTTTAAAAAGAACATGTTTTCATAAAAAAAAAATACAAGAAATAATTCATAAGTATTAGAGCCTGATCATTTTTTTAATAAAAAGCACGGATTGCTTTTCATCATTTTTTCTTCGAAACTAACATCTATAGCAGGGGTGTCAAACTCGCAACTTCAAGTGACATGTTGCGCTGTATCGCAACTTTTTTGCCATTGCCGGCAATGGGGTGGGCTTGGTTTCGCTAAGATGTATCCGGCCCACGGGCTGGCAGTTTGACACCCCTGATCTATAGCCTTTGTTTGCATTCGGATCTATGACATATCACTGTCATTCCCATACAGATTTTCAAAATCCCAGCATCCCCTCATTTCAATTTCATCCCATATTATTTTTTCCCCTGTTGGTATTGATCATGCTATACTTCTGGATGATTTTATGAGTGATTCTGAAGTGCATAAAGTTTTATCTCAATCCAATAATTCTTAATTATTTCAAGAAATCTGGCAACTTGAACCTGTTTGGGGTTTGTTTGCATAACACACTGCATGCAAACCAGGCTGCAACATTTTAGCCTAGTGTGGTGTATGAAGCCAAGCAGTTGGATTCATTCAGTAAAGGTGATTTAGTTAGCTCTGCATTACTATATTGTGCAAACATAGTCTTTTGGTTAGCTAAGTATGATAATAATGTTTGGAACTATTTCTTACTTCTTCTCTTACACCTCTCAGTGACTTGCAACTATGGTAATGGAGGTTGTCAGCACACCTGTGATGATACAGATCAAGGTCCAAAATGTGGTTGCCATGTGAGGTTTGTGCTACACTCTGATGGGAAAACGTGCATAGGTAAGTGAGAGATACATAAGCTTTGGTTCAAAGCAAGTGTGTGAAATCATAATTTAGGGTATCTTAGATTAAACAACTTTACTGTAATATTATTGACAACATTTCATTCAGATTAATCAAATACATTGTCACTATAATTAATTGCCTCTGATCCTCATAAAGCTATTGTGCAGATAGAAGATGAGAGGGAAAAATATCTACCCATTACCCACCATAAACTGTTGGGCATGATAGAATAACATGATAGACATCAGCTACTTCCACCATCTCTCCCTCCATCTTTTGCTCCATCTCTCCCTCCATGGCTTTGGCCTCTGAGAGGCAAAACGGTTTTTACTGCTGGAGGAATCTGACAATATGAGGACAAACAGAACTGAGCTCAGTACTTCTCTCAGCCACTGTCCAGAAAAGATTGCCAATTTTATACTGTGTGCTTTTATTGGTATCCATTTTTTCACACACACACCCATACATACATTCAGATAGAGAAAACTCTCCTGATTAAAATGATAAACCAAGGTACATCATTTGTTTCATTTCTAATTTTCTGCTATAAGTTATGCACAAATGATATAAGATAGGGTTTTTTTAAAAAATAAAATCTGCCCTATTCACAGGCCAAAATCAATGGTTGCTAGAGTTCTCTGCTTTTTATTGAACACAGAAAGACAGACATCCTCTGGGCAGTCTGGGAGATACTTTTCTTTTTAACTCACCATAATTTGGAATGTACATATAGTAAATATTTTTATGAGATGAAATAGACAAAATCAAAAATTTGGTGTGTATCAGTTTTACTTATCTTCTTTGATAAATCTGATCATCCCATTTCGGTATACATATATTATTGAAAAATATTGATTTTATATGCATTGTAAAATATGTAATAATTTTGCAGTGTTTTAAAACTAAGAATTGCACCATAGAATTCAGAAAAATGCAGAGTCAGAAGAATTATTGGGAATTGTTATTTCATTCTGAATAGTTGACCTTTGGTTATAATTGGAGAGGAAATATGGTAGGGGAAAAGGAAGGAAAAAGATAATATGGGTTGTCCTCAACTTACGACTACTTGCTTAATGACAGTTTGAATTAAAAACCTCCAGAAAAAGCCAATTACGATCCTAAATTTGAACTGAAGACTTTGCCCTGCCGCTATGGTCACAATTTGGGCATTGAGCAGTCGGATTGCATTTATGACTGGTTGCAGCATCCTACAGTCACATGAATGTGATTTGTGGCAAAAACGCCATTGGTTAACAGGATTTGCACTGACTGCATGACATAGACTTACAGTCATAAATTGGGTCCAGTCACATGATGACATGACTTAATATTGTAAGAACTTATGACAGAAATTCCGGTCCCAATTGTAATTGTAAACTGAGGACTACTTGTATACAGTGCCATTTTCATCATATGTATATATTTGAACAATAAATGCATAATAGCATCAAATGCTTATTCAGAATTGCATGTGCATGCTTGCTTATTCTTTATTTCTGCTTTTCTGAGCTTGGCTGTAAACAAAATGTGATATTTGTTGAGTTTCACTATATTGATTCAACATGTCCAGTTTTCATCAACACCATAAATTCCACGTCGAAGTGCACAGACCTATCACATAGCAAATGTGAGGAATCAGGATGGTGAAATGACTGATAAATCTCTATATGGAGAGTTCTTTAGGTTGATTTTCTTTTTTCAATGTTTGTCATATATCTTGTTGAAATGTCAGACTGACACTGTAGGAGGCTATAATACAGTACTGACTTTTGCTGTTCCAGCAAAGTTGAGTGCTCAGAGGACCAATTCAGTCATGCTGTGTCACTAAGAATCAAACTAGACGAATGATGAGAACTTCAATTGTTTTTTTTAAAGAGCAGAACCACAAGTTTTAAATCTGTTTTATAGTTGCAATGTTAAGGGAGGGGAGTTTAACATTTTCCTCTATGGTATTTTCTCACTGGAAGCTATTTTTTTCTCCTATTACTCTTCCCCTATGAAAAAATAAATAAATATGCAAACTGTAGCTTTTATGAAGCATTTTTAATCCATCTTTGAAAAAGGAGACATCAAACTGAGATAAAGAGTTCATGCAAGTGCATACATACAATATATGCACATTACATACAATATATGCACATTACATACATCTGTACTGTGTGCTTGCAATATTTGAATATGGGATTAAAGATCCATTCAGTTTACTGAGCCTTTTCCCCAGGTAAACTAGTATAGCAAGACAACCTTATGGTTTTTTTTTAAAAAAGATATAAATATGAAACTATCATCATGGATCTTGCACTGCTGTGTTTAACTGAACAGAAAGGGCATCTGTGGAATAGTTTGAACAAAATCTTCTAAATGCTCTTACAGAATTGGCCTCTTAGCTGCGGAGAAACATTCCTACTTAGCTATGCTTCAAATTTCACAACCAGAATATCAATTTTTCCCCATGTTGGGAATATTAGCAGATGGGATTGTGTTCAGTGGGTTTAGGAGAACATAGGAGTTATAATAATGGACACTTTGGTTTAACTGAAAACAAGAGTTAGTTGAATATTATGTACATTTGGAATTTAAAGTTCATATATCAAACTGATTTCAAAACAGGTTGCTTCTTATTTCTCAGAGCTAAGTCAACAGAGAGGGTTCAATATGAGTGGGAGTGCACTGTTATTAGCTCTTTCTTTACAGATAGCTCCATAATGACCTAAGAAAGTTCTTCAGGGGGAAATTGCCACTAATGGCTATCCCCCGAGATCTAGTGAATAGAAGTCTAGATCTGAAATTCTACCGGTTGCTGAAGGAGCCAGATCCTCCACCAACTGGACTTAACTTGATTGAACAAGCAAGAAAATCCTGTATCCTATATTTCACCCCAGGTGCCTGATTTCTAAAACGGTTTTTAAAAAATAATACAGTTCCTATTAATACGACTAATCAATAAACATAACTCAAAATTATTACATTTGTTTTTGTTAATTTCTATTTCGCCTAATAACATCATTGATTGTATTTTCTGATTTCTCACAAATGTATTCTATTATGATTACTTACATCAAGGGAATTATAGAATTTTAAAAGTATTGAATGAAGTCTTATCATGTTCAAGGATACCTACTGTCCTGACTTGACTATAATATCCTCTGATCTACCAGAACAAAGCAACCTGTTCCAACCCAAAAATTGATATTATAAAGGTTCAATCTGAATATCCAATCATATTGTTCTATTGTAACAATTATTCTCAGCATGAACAAATCTATTACTGGCTTCATATACCTATGCAGTTTAAGAGATTACTTATATGAAGTCCCACATAAAAAGTGATCAAAACAAATTACTGTAAATATTTCCCTTCTTGTTCTGTCTTAATTTATTTGAAAACAGTTCCCTTCAACTGAATCTGCTGAGTGGTCTGAGCCTCTGGGAAAATACATAATTTCTGTAACAATTTCTTCCTGGAATTTAGACCTAAGTCATGCCAGCCTATACTCTATCCCTTGATGATATGTAAGAATGACTTTTGCTTAACAATCCTTGTAATTGTACTTAATTAGACTAATCTTGCCTCCTCCTGCCCCGAGGATTAGAATAATATAAGGGCTTCTCTGTTGACATAGTAGCTGGAATACAACTGGCTTATATTTCAAATTATTCATTTAGTACTATTATTTTGCCTGCATATGGACAGTTTTAGTTCAGAAGAATTAGTACATGGATTCTAAATAAATATATTTGGAAATAAATCCAAGTAATTTGACTGAACCAAATATAATTTAGAATGTTGCCTGAAAGATCTTGAATATGGGCCAAGACTCATTTTTAGTTTTCTCTTATGGAGTAATGATTAGCTTTTCTGTTTCCTTAAATGAAATTCTAATACTATGTGTAATTTTTGCTTCACTGCTTGTATTGCCTTTGAGCCATTCCTTTCTTTCTTGCCATGTATTTTTATTTTGTTTTGTTTTGCATGTTTCTGCTCACAAAATATGGTTCATTGGTGGCTCCTATTTTACATAAACCATCTACTTTGAATGCCGTAACTGAGGTCATACTAACGCTAGCAGACAATTCCTTTCATTTGTTCTGCTCTCAAGACATTCTGTACCCATGCCCATTTGTTATACTCCTAATTGTGCTGGCTTTCCAGGTATAGATATTATAATGCAACAAATGTGCAATTGTAGCTCATTTTGAATTGCTTATTCCCCAGAGAATAAGGGATTTTTTTTTCTTTGTTGGAGTAGTTGGCAAAGTCAAAACTGGAGTGTGCTCTTTGTAAAGATAGTTTGATGATTGATTAGTACAGTTTTGGTTTCTAAGAAATAATAATTGTTTTGTCGGGTTATACTTCACTTTACGTGAAAAGTATTTGACAATTGAGCTTTTTTGTGCTTCCTTCATGAATAAATGTACTCAGCTGGAAATCTGACTCCTTTATAGCTTAACAGGGCCTCACCCACATGTTGAATAAGTTGGAAAACACTTTAACCTGATTTTCACAACAAACTCTGCAAAAAGCCCTCCCGCAGCTCCGTAAGTGTGAAAGTCTTAATTTTCCTGGAGTTCAGATTTAGACCCAGCTGTGATAGATGGTGACCTTCAGGGTCTTTAAATAAACAACAAAGATGCTTCTGGTCTGCCTATTCTCTCAGAATTGGATATGGAGGGAATTTGCCATCTGGGACAGCTCTTCATTGACCTGAGAAGCTGGCTATATGGTTTGAGTTTGTCTTCTGATTGGTTTTTGTCAGCTGTATGAATGCGAAGGAGAGCAGTAACAGCTGAAGCATCCCATTTACATATACTGTAGTGCATTTTCTGTTCATAGCTGCCCTGCATGGAAAACACTGTTAAATTGTGCACTCAGGGTTATTACCAAACCTCCAACCCCACTGTCTCCATAGAGAAGCACAGGGAGAGATTTATAGCTAGGCAAGAGGTTAAGATACCTCTTTGGATATTTATAACTACCCTTTTTTCATTTTAGC